ACAGCATGTAAAAATATAATATAAGCTCTGGCAGACTTGGTTCTATGGTAGGTCTTAAAGGGTTAACAGGGAAAGGGGGGCACAAAGAAATACTTTTATTTCTTATTGTCATTTAAAATGTCTAGCTTTTAATAAAAAAAATGATCTGAATCTTACAACCAAAGTGGTCATCTGATCAAATGTAAAGAAATCTTCCTTATATGTCACCAAGATAGTTGTTGTGACATTGTTGTTGTTGACAGCATACATCACTGTCACAACGACGTTTGTTTTCATTCAAAGGCTTTATGGTTTTTCCTACAATACCTGGTGGGCCTGCTGATTTTTTTTGTCTCAGTCCAGCACTACAACTACCTGTAATCTTTGCTTAACTTTGAAACATTTTTAGGACAAAATAACAATTATAACCTTACAGTTTGTTTTTTAAGTGGAGACAGATTATGTAATGCTTTAAAAAAATGCAGATTGTATTCACCTTGTGAATCATATCTCAGTTAAAGGTTAGAGAACTCCATCACAGGGAGTAGTGAAAGATTATTATTAAGGACCCCAAAGCGCTTTACACTGTCAGTGTAAAGCGCTTTGGGGTCCTTAGTGACTGAGTAAAGCGCTATACAAATGCAGGCCATTTACCATTTAGAACTGCTGCAGAGAAACCACGGACCCTCTACACTGTGCTGACGAAAGGCAGGAAGAGGGTTTAAGTGCTGCAGTTACACAGAAAAACCTCACACCTCTGTACACCACAATGGGACAAACACCTCTTCTGTGCCTTCTCTGTAAGTAACATGTGCTGGCTTTAAATCCCACTATTTAATATGTTGATTTAAGATAATCTGGTTGAGAGTGGCAGTGAGATTACTTTTACTTAACATTCAATAACTAAGCACATCCTGTTTTAAGAAAACACTTTAAATGTGGTCACTGCCCTTCTGCTACATTTGGTACTAAAGGAAAAACCCCTTGAAAAATAATTAATTTTTATGATTACTTTCAGTTCTGATGTTGCTGTTTTCCAGCACAGCAAACCAAGGTAAGTGGACCAATTTTATTACAAACTAATGTAACAAACCATAACACAGGCCCATTTGATGCTGACCCATGACTGACTCACAAGTATCGACGTCAGAATCGGTTTAATGAATGTTTCTGGCAAGTGAAACCAGCCTAAACATGGTAAAACTGAATGGTAAATTGACCGATTCTCATATAGTGCTTTTCTACTCTGCTGGCGTACACAAAGAGCTCTATACAACACACTGCATTCAACCATACACACCCATTCACACAAGCACTGTTGTTTATACTTTTCAGTTCTTTTTAAATTAACATTTATACACATTCATACTCTGATGGCTGCATTGGAGAGCAAGTAGGGGTTAGTTTCTTGCCAAAGGATATTTGGCATGCAGACTGGGGGAGGCAGGGATTGAACCACCAACCTTCCAGTCAGCAGCTGACCTGTTCTACCTCCTGATGATCTTTGTTAAAAATTGACTCTTCCAATTTTGGTCTGACACTGCATTATCAGTGACATTACACACCAAATGAAACCCCAAAACCTGATGATTTAAATGGTTTAAAGCTGTTAAAGATACAATCACTGCATGAGAATTCCAGACATTTTAGAAAGAGTAAGTACACTGACCATCCTAAGCTGGTCTGCACCATTTGTGATCCTTTTAGTACAAAAGAGGGAAAATGTGAAGCGTTTAGTATCATATTGTGTGTGATTTCAAAATCATAAAGTTTGGGGGTTTTTTTTGCGCATCTGCCATCACACGGATATGAAGTTGATGCAACATCCCATTCTTGATCCTTAGGTTTAATATGGCCCACTCTTTGCATCCACAACAGCTTAAACTCTTCTGGGAAGGTTTTCCACAAGTTTTAGAGTTTTAGGGGTGCATTTTTTTACTTCCAAAAGCATAATTTTGAGGTCAGACACTGATAAGATAAGATAAGATAAGATGACCTTTATTAGTCCCACAGGTGGGAAATTTGTTTTGTTACAGCAAAAGTGCAAAGTTATGTAGCAGAAATTAGAAAACACTGGAATGTAATAAAATGCAATAGAATAAAATAGAATAGAATAATATATACAATAGAATAAAATATAAATACTATATACAACTGAGTAGGAAAATACAAAAACGCAACTTTGTCAGAAGAAGAATTGCACAAGAATTGCACATATAGCAGTCTTATTGCACATGTGTGGGTTTGTGTGTTTGATCAGCTGCAAAAGTCTTTATTGTGGAGTCTGACAGCAGTGGGGAGGAAAGACCTGCGAAATCTCTCCGTCCCACACCGCGGACAAAAAGGTCATCTCACAGTTTCCACTATAATTTATCCCAAATACATTCTATTGGATTCGATTTCAGGACTCAGTGCAGGCCAGTAATGTTCTTCCACAATAAACTGGTTCATCCACGTCTTTATTGCCTTGCTTGATGCACTGTTGAGCAATCATGTTGGAACAGGAAAGGGCCATACCCAAAGTGTTCTTACAAATTAAGAGCATGAAATTGTCCAAAATGTCTTGGTATGCTAAAGCATTAAGAATTATTTTCACTTGAACTAAGGGGCCAAGCCAAACCCCTTAAAAAACAAAAAAACAAAACAAAACAAAAAAAAACATAATCTCTCCTCCAGTTGGTACAATGAGACAGAACAATGAGACAGAACTGCCAATGGTCAGGATTGCCACACAGGAAAATGATTCATCACTCTAGAGAGCACATCTCTGCTCCTCTAAAGTCCAGTGGCAGCGTGCTTTACATCACCGCATCTGACGATTTGCATGTGCTTGGTGATATAAGGCATGGCTGCTACTCACCATGGAAATACATCCCATTAAGCTCTCTATGCACTGTTGTTGAGCTAATCTAAAGGCCACATAAGGTTTGGAGGTGGCCTGTACAACTTCGTGTCTGAGTTTCTGTTGTTGCCATCACTTCCACTTTGTTATAATAGCTGACAGCCAAATACAAGAAAATTTTACAGACTAGACTTCTTGCATTGGTGTCATCCTATCATGTAAAATACTTAAATTAACTAAGCTACTAAAATCAATATCATGTATATGCTTTCTTTATAACAAAAATATTCTTTATGTTATGTTTAATCAATTTTCACAGCTCCTCTGACTGTGAGTCCCAGCAGCTCTCAGTTCTTTAAAGGAGACTTTGTGTCTCTGAGCTGTGAGGAGGACGACAGCTCTGCTGGATGGACTCTGAGGAGAAACACAAATGGAGAAACAAGGACTCAGTGTGGAGCTGGATTTGGAAAATCAGCTGGTTCTTCCTGTATCTTCAACCACATTGTCACCTTAGACAGTGGAGTTTACTGGTGTGAGTCCAGAGAGGGTCCCATCAGTAACATGGTTAACCTGACAGTCACTGGTAAGCTGAGTGTGTGGAGTTAGTGTTGATGAAGCTGTGTGTAAATGGATGAAATGCTGTAGTTTGTCTCTGTGTTGAGGTGGATCAGTGATCCTGCAGAGTCCTGTCCTCCCTGTGATGGAGGGAGATGACGTCACTCTGCTCTGTAAAACAAAGACCACTCCCTCCAACCTCCCAGCTGCTTTCTATAAAGATGGCTCCCTCATCAGGAAGCAGCCTACAGGTCACATGACCATCCAGCATGTTTCCAGGTCTGATGAAGGCCTCTACAAGTGTGACATCAGCGGTCATGGAGAGTCTCCATCCAGCTGGATCACTGTCACAGGTGAAGCTTCTGTTTCTTTTACAGATTTTACATCCAAAGCTCAAACTGATCACAAAGATTCACATGTTCTCATTAATTCCAGGTTCTCCCACCTCTCCTCCTCTATCACCCTCAACTGCTTCCCTCGCCTCCTCATTTTCCTCTCCTCCTCTCTCTGTGATGGTGTCCGTTCCCTCCATATTTGGGCTGCTGCTGGTTGTACTGGTTGGACTAGTGAGACGACGTGTCCGGAGGCAATCTGAAGGTGAGACACACATTCACATACCTCACTAATTAAAAGGTTAAAGACAGTTCACCTCAAAATCATATCAGTTTTCTCTGCTTAGGCTTAAAAGGTGAGTAAAAGTTAGTTTCATTATATTGGATCAGATATCTCCATCAGTGGTTTAATCACACTAATCTAAGTAGAAGCAGCACTGCAACATGTAAGTTTGATTATGGGGTATACTGCTCCTTTAAAAACACATGATGCACAGGAAGTGCAGTTTTTGCACACAGACCTTCACATTACTACCTGAGGATTAATTTAAAGTTAAACTAAAGGCTGTATTTGTGCATCAATTTCTACTTAAGCTTTTGAAAATAATTTGTCATTTTTTAAATATATTTTTACATTTGGATATTTTTAGTTGGCTTTTTTTCCCCTGTGTTGATTGCAATGCAGCACTTGAGACTTTGTGGTCAAAGAGTTTTGATGTGAGTAGCTCTGCTGGCGTCCAGTTTCCTGTATTAGGACTAAAAAAAGAAAAGCTTTTTTTTTCTTTTAACACAGCTTTCAGAAAGAAAGAGTTCTTTTTTAATCATCCAAGTTTACTGACTAAAATCTTTCCATTATTCTTATAAATATTCATATTCCAGCTGTCAAACCAGCAGCAACAATAATGATTGTGTTATCAGAGGGAAATCTGTGATATTTGCAGACAGAGATCCTGCAGCAGCTGCTACCTCCTCATCAGTGAGAAGAACTTCAGCAGATGGCCGACACGGGTCAAACAGAAAAAGAAGTACGACAAGTTTCCTGTTAGAAACTCTGTAAAAGTCCTCTGCTTTTTCCACAAGAGGCTCCATGACGTCGATGGCTGAGATTTTTAAACATGTGCTGATTTTTCATCAGGCCAACATTTATCATTTTAAATACTTTCTATACTTTTGCTTAATACTAAATATCATATGTTAGCATACTGTGTGAGTAATCATACTGCTGGATTACAAAGCTGCACATGCTTAGAACACTGAGAAAACATCTGCGCTCACCTTTCTTGGTGCTCAGGCAGTTGTCCAAACACAAAAACTAAAAAACAAATTATATAAGAGGGAAAATTGAACTTATTTCTATTTAGAGATGACTTCTCTAAACCCCAGTCTTCTTTAAAATTGAGTCTTTGCATGAGCAAAAAGACATGAGGCAGAACTGAAGATGTTAATTGATGATGTTAACAGCAATATGATCACTTTAACTGCGGATAACTAAAAAAAAAGGTTAAAAAGTAAAAAAAAAAAAACTCTTAGTTTGTCCATTTGACTGTCACAGTGAACAGAAGATTTTATGTTTTCTGTGTACCACATGAGCACAGGGCAGCTATCACTATGGTGATGCTGTGCAAGTCAGGTAAAAACATTTATTTTTAAATCATTTATAAAAGTTTCCTTTACATGACGTGTAAACAGCTGCATCATTTTAACACCTGAGCAGCTCTGTGGTCATTACGTTTCCTGTTTTGAGAGCTAAACTGAGCAGAGGTGTTAAAGTGGCTTCAGGTTAAACAGAGGATGTGTTGTGAAGAACGTGCCTCAGGTTTGCATCTTTATCTCACCCTAGCACAAAAAGTACTGTATCTCTCACATGACTTTGTCTTGTTTTGCAGAGAGCGATTCAGCTGCAGTGCAGAGAACAGCTGACATCACTTATGGAGACATCACCATCAGGACAAACAGCAGACACAGAGGTACAGCTGCTCCTCTTCAAAGGTCCAACCCTAAATCAAAATTTAAAAAGCTTAAACCTCAGCCTGCAGCAGCAGACACTGGGAAAGCCACAATGAAAACATTACAGTGCTTTGGTCCTTCTGCAGTGTAGAGAGACTAATGTGGTCATATGAAGATGTTATCAGCTCCCAGTGTTGGGAAGGTTACTTTTAAAATGTATTCCA